CCTATATATTGCCAAATTCCTTTCTCTTAAAAAAAAAAAAAAAAAAAAAAAGCCCACTGGCTAAAAGGACAGAGGGCCTCAATTCTGCAAATCGCCCCATCCCTGCCGGCAAGGAATAAACTCCCCTAAAGCTGCCCAAACCAAACCACCGCAATCAGTCCGCTCCTCCCAATCAGAAATTTCTGGAGCCGATGTGGCCCCGGCACGCCGCGTCCCGGGGAGGACACCTGAGGCGCCCCCGGAGGGCCACAGAGCAGCACCAGCTGCCTCCCCCGCGCTGTGAGGGTGCGGCCGCCCCGCCACTTCCCGGGAGGCGGCAACTCCGGCCGCAACCTGAGGAATCCCGGCAGGGAAGGCGCGCGGGGAAGGGCAAGTTTCCCAGGCGGGACCCTGGGGGGCCGGGGCGACGCGGTTAGAAATGGGAGCGTCCCCTGCCCTCTCGGAGTGGGGGAGCCCAAAGAGACACGTGAGCTCCGCGCCCCGGGAGCGGCCCGGCTTCGCAGACCCCGCTGGCGGCGGGGTCCGGGGAGAGGGGCGCGGTGGGGGTACGGAGGCCGGCAAACGCAAGGATATTGCCGCAGGCAGGAGTCCACCTCGCCTTCGTCGGGCCCGGCCTGCCCGTCGCCCCCGTCTTCCTCGTCCACGAACTTGTTCTCATCGTACTCATCCACGTCCACCTTCCGGAACCGGGCCGACGACACCGTGTTCTTCGACATCCCTGATCCGGACCGGTGGCTAAGCCCCTTCTTGGTGCTGCCTCTATCTCGGTAAGCGGAGCCCACCCACCAGGAACCCGCAGCCTGGCGCCTTCACTTCCCTCTTCCGCTCTGGGGCGTCGCCGGCAGCCGGGGCTCGGGCGCTTCTGGGCCTGCGCGCTGGCGGCGCTCCTTCCTCCTCGGCTTCATGCTCTCCTCTAGCCTCCTACGCCGCCCCCACTCTTCCCCGGGGAGCGCGCGCGAGGGAGGGAGCGCGCTGGATGCAGTGCGCAGGCGCGGGCTCTCCGCAGGAAAGGGGCGGGGCTGGGAGAAGAAGGCGGGGGCGGGAGGGGGCGGGGCAGAAGGGAGGGCCGAAAGCGGTGCCGCGGGCAGAGCTAAGAGGTGATTGGTCTTCCGAGGGCGTCACGTGATCCCTAGGGGGTTTCCATAGCAACGCTTCCCTGCGGTCCAGCCTAGGGGGGTCTTAGGTTGGAGGCTATGGGCACTGGGGGCGGGTGGCTTTTGCTGCCACCGCCGCTGCCAGCGACCTGTCGTCGGGGTCCTGCGTGAGGTCCGGCTGGCCCGGACTCGCCTGTGGGGTGGGATGGACTGGTTGCCAGACCAAGTCCCCTGCAGTTCGCAGGAGTATGGGGCGGAGTGATGCACGCCCGGGCGCCCAGCTTCGTTCTAGTTGTCAGAGACATCACTTCGGACCGTGCGCTGACCGTGGCTGCGTTCCGGAGCCGGGAGCCCCTTACCCGGGGTTGGAACTACGCTGCGCGGCCAGCGGGAGGTCCCCAAGGACGGAGTCGAAAGGTCATATCTTATCTGTCAGTGTTGTGTACAGCATCCCGACCGCACCTGCAGAGCCGGAACTAGGTATTATATGCATTGCGAGGGAGGGGGATGTTTTGGGCAGGGCCTGGGGTGACAAACTGGGTGAACCTGTGGAATTTGGGGTAGGGGCAGTCACTGACATCTTAAAATAAGTGGTGGTTGGCAGCAAGAAGGCTAGAAAACGGTAGGGGCAAGTTATGCTCTCCGGTGCTGAGGGGAAACAAAATTAAGGATTTGTAAGGATTAATAGAAACCAGACCTTTAAGATATATATTTGTGATTTAAGATTTATATGATCCTGCTAGGCCAGCTTTGTAATTACATTTGAGATCCTCGTTTCTGAGAGCAAAGCTCTAGGAGGTTAAGACATTAAAACTAAGGAAATGGTAGTTGTGGTGTGTGTATAACACTGAAGTACAAATATTTGCAGAATAAAATTATTTTGGACATTTAGCTGGACACTGCTCAGATAGCTTTATATTTTCCTGACATCCTATCAGATCTAGTTCAATTCCATCTGTAGCAGAAAGCTGGCTGTTGCCCTGTTAATACCCCAATCCTTGGTTTCCTGTGCTGTTTTGAAATGAGCACTGGACTTAGAATTAGAATACCCTGGCTCAAGCCTTGACTTCCACTCATAATCTATTTGATTGAGGCTGCCACTTAAAATTTTGAATTTCAGATTCCTTGTTGTTAAAGTGGAGCTAATAATGTGTACTTCACAAGATTGTTATGAGGATTAAATACAGGAAAGTGTTTTGAAGCTCTAAAATTCTACATAAATGTAAAATGCATGTTAACTTGTACCATTGATTTTGGCACTAGTCTTATGAATTACTTAATGATATATCGTGTTTTATCTTGCTCCTGAAAGAGAGCAAAAGATTCCGGAGGGCAAAGTCTTGGGTTATATTTATTTTCTATCTTTCTTTACCTCTGATATGATGCTAAGCATGCAGAAGGTACTCAATACATTCAGGTACTCGATTATTTATTGATGAATGAATGAAATGTGAAAGGCAGTAGTTTGAAAGTCACCACACTGAGCATAATGAATCAGTAAGAGGAAGAGGGATCTCAAAATCAAACATTTGTTCGACAGATATGCATACATATGTATATATGGATATCTATATCTACATCGACATGTATGCATATGTATATATGTGGATATATATGTATATAGATATACATATATATATATAGAGAGAGAGAGACAGAGACAGAGAGAGACAAAGAGAGTTCACAGGAATGGAATGCATCCTTTCCTCTTGGGAGGAGGAAGCAATATGGCACTTTTCTCTTCCCAATTAAATCACCCTTCTAGAAAATATATCATTTAGGTGATAGAAATGACATTTCTTTAAATTAACATTCAAGTTATGAGCAAGCACACTGATAAAAACTCCCCCAAGGACTGTTTTAAGAGAGCAAAGGAAAATTTTCTACCTGTTGGTACTATTTATTTTACAAAGTCGTATACCGAAGTATAAGACCATTACTATGGTAAGTGGCATTATATAATTTAGAATAAAGACTTGTTTTAATATTTCTTCCTCAGTTTCCATCTTTTGCTAACTTTAGTAAGAGCCAAACAGTATACCTATTTTGATGTTAAAGATGATTGTACTTTTTGTTCTTCTAAATCAAGATTTTTCTTTGAAGAGAAAATGAAACATTAGAAGTGCTTTTGAGAGTAAACGGAAACAAGAATTTAAGAGCTAATGTATCCCCTCTCTTACATTTCTCTTCTTTTGCATTAGGACTTATTTAGGAAATGTCTTTATTCTCTTATTTTAGAACTGGAAAAGAATCCTGGTGTAGAAATCAACTCAAGGGAACAGTGAAAGGAATTTAAAGAGTCGAGTTGCTCAAGGGTAGAAGTGATTTGATTACTCAGAATTTTGTTCTATATGTTGAATGTGTTAAATATAATTAATTCTCAGCTGCATATTGCATAATACATTTGAGATGTAATAATATCCAAAAAGTCCTTTCCCAGTGCAGTGTTTTTTTACTGTCTCACAATGATAATTATCTAGAACATAGTAGGCATGCCACACATTTTTATCCGATGAATTAATAATCTGACAATATTGCAGTCATATTTAGAGATCAAATATTTCTTTTTTTTCCCTCTGAAGTTTATTTTGAGGGGGTGTGTGTGCATGTGAGTTGGGGAGGGGCAGAGTGAGAGGGAAAGAGAGAGAGAGAATCCCAAGGAGGAGAGCTCATGACCTGAGCCGAAATCAGGAGTTAGATGCTTAACCGACTGAGCCACCCAGGTGCCCCAAGAGATTGAGTATTTCTTAATGGACACATTCATTTCCTCCCTACCCCAGTCAGCTAACCATTAAATCTATAAAGCTTTAGGGAAATGTGTGTGCGGGTATGTGTGAAGGAACCTGTCCTTAATTATCTTTTAATTACATAATACACGTTATTCAACTTTCTTGCATATTATAATATTTAATGTTAATCATAGTATTTAATTCATTTTAGGTAATATTATTCTTTATATTTTAATTTAACAAATAAGTATTGATCCTGAAATAAAGGTTTGAAGACATCTTACTTATTGTGTCAATAACCTGGTTTGGTTCAATACTGAAGAAAGACTAAATCTGAATTTTCTCAAGGTTAATGCTGCATGATACTATGTAGCTCCTTCTTATTTTCTGTGCTAATGCAAAGAAGGAAGGATCATTTTAATTAGAAAGGATTTTGCTAAAACTATCTTATAACAGATCTTGTTTTTCCTGAGTATTTTAAGCTGAGTACTTTACCTACCATGTGCTTCTTTTCCCCAGCCTTGCTGCTAAATACTTAATAAACCAAGACATTGTACCCTACAACAATGAAATGGAAGTGAGGCCAGTGTTAATCAAATATATCAAACATGTATTACATATATATATATCATGTATTATATATATGTGTATATATATATATAATAAATAAGTAAATTTCAGTTGGCAATGATGTAATACTACTGTTCTCTAGCAACATAATTAATACAATATATAAAGATTTTTTTAGCATGTTACCTACACTACAGTATGGTCTAATGGTTGCACATAATATCCATATGAAGTGGTTCTGTGTTGAAACCACCAGACTCCCAAACTTGGAATGTTTGCTTTGTGATTTATTTAAAAAAATTTTAATGTTTATTTGTTTCTGAGAGAGAGAGATAGAGTATGACTAGGGGAGGGGCAGAGAGAGGGGGAGACACAGAATCCGAAGCAGGCTCCAGGCTCTGAGCTATCAGCACAGAACCTGATGGGCTCGAACTCACAGACTGTGAGATCATGACCTGGGCTGAAGTTGGACGCTTAACTGACTGAGCCACCCAGGTGCCCTGTGATTTCTTTTAGCTTTACATAACTTTATGATTCCATACTCAGGTAGAGTAGAGAGGGTGAACTGTATTATAATGGGACCTTTGTTTGTTTGTATATTAGTACTTCTTTTTTTTAAGTTTATTTGAGAGAGCAAGAGAGCATGTGAGGAGTGAGGGAGGGGCAAAGAGAGAGGGAGAGAGAGAGAGATTCCCAAGCAGGCTCCACACTGTCAGTGCAGACAAGCCTGTGAGATAATGACCTGAGCTGAAATCAAGAGTCAGATGCTTAACTGATTGAGCCACCCACTGTCCCAGTACTAATATATATTAGTACTTCTAAGATTAAGAAAAATTTTTTCAATTTCCTTTTTTAATGTTTTATTTACTTTTAAGAGACAGAGAGACTGAATGCAAGTGGGGGAGGGGCAGAGAGAGACACACACACACAGAATCTGAAGCAGACTCCAGGCTCCACGCTGTCAGCACAGAGCCTGACGTGGGGCTTGTACTCATGAGCTGTAAGATCATGACCTAGATTGAAGTTGGACACTTAACTGACTGAGCCACCTAGGCACCCCTAAGTTTAAAAAATTTTTAAATCTGTATTCTTGTCTTAGGAAAAATGTTTAGTGCTAAATGAAACAATAAACCCTGTTTGTTAAACATTATTTTGAATGGGACTCTTTATCTATTTAATTTTTTTAATCTGCTTATGGTATAATAAAGAGAAGCTGTGGACTGTGGGTTTTAAAATTTATTTATTCTATAGTCTTTCTCATTACTATTGTATATTCTTTCCCATTACTAGGCTCTCTTATTAATGCTAACAGTTATTTTAATTAAAGTTACATTTCTTGTCATACTATACATTCATAATATTTAAGATACTGATAATTTACATTTTCTTTTCTAATATTTACATCATGTTTATTTCTTTTCCTTATCTTATTCATTAGCTGGGCTCTCAAAAACAGTGTTGAAAAATTGGGTGAGAGTAGGCATCTCTTCTTTGTTTCTATTTTAATGCAAATGGCATTGGTATTTTACCAGTTTTTATTTCCTATTTTATGATATTTAGGAATGACTGCTCGAATTATCAAATGCTCTTTTTTG